GTGGTTCCAATTTTGACGTTATTAATGACGTTTTGGGTAGACAAGAGAAGATAAGGATTGTCACTAAGATAAAAGTTGGTCACCCATTCATCAATTAATCATTAAATTAATAATTCCAATTTTAACCTTTATTTTTTAAAATATAATATTTTTAAAATATAAAAACAATAGAACACCAAACATCTTATGAACGAGAGGTAGAGGTAAGAGAGGGTGGAAGAACCTAATATTTTTAAAATATAAAAACAATAGAGCATCAAACATCTTATGAATGAGAGGTAGAGGCAAGGGAGGGTGGAAGAACACGGGCGGTCGGGTCGTGTCTGTCAAAAAAAATATTTCTTAGTTTTTTTTAATAATTTTAAATTTTAAATTTAAAATTAGTAAAATTTAAGATTTGACCCTCCAAAAAACATTTCTTAATCTTACATAAATGTTGACTTATTAACATTAATTAAAGAAAAGGAAACTAAATAAAACAAACTCCTAGGCCCACGCAACAGAAGTGAACCTGGATTCACATGTAGAATGGTGGCACGACGACAAGTACCGACCGAGAAAGCCCAAGTATTTGGATGCTATTCACACTGGATCTGAATGGAACAAATATGAGAGGACTCACTATGATCACGACAATCCACCTCCAAAGATTGTGCAAAGATATGAGTTTCCTATCTTTAACCAGGCCTGATTATCAGGACGGAAACTCCAACTTATACTTGTGAGGATGATGGGATCAATGGTGAGACCTGCATTCTAAGGTTTCATGCAGGGCCACCTACTGAGGACATGGCATTTCAACTTCCGACGCTGCTCTTATCGCAGGTGACATGTAAAAAACCTTGTGGTGGAATATTTTGTATCAATGGCATTCTGATCATAAAGTGGTCTTTTTCCATGTTATTGCTTGATCTGATGCCATTTCAATCCTGCCAGTTGCAATGAAGAAATGACATTATATTATCATACAGTCATTGGTTTTTAATTACGAGACAAAAAACAAAAGCTTGTAATGCTTGATTCTGCTCAAATTCAAAACTGCAGAACTTTTTTCTTCTGTCTTCCACGACTGATTTTCGGAAAGTTAGAATATGCAACCTCTTTCTTTTCTTTTTGTTTGCTTTTTACCCTAAATTCTTCCAATATTCTTCTGAGGAAACAATGACTGGTGTTTCTCCAGTGACTAATAGTGTGGATACCATGTGTACTGCATACTTTCTCCAATAAAATGCATAACTTTCACATGTTCCATTCCACACAATAGCACACGGGCTTGAGTTTTATTGACTCATCTAGTTGCACATGAGGTTTTTTTTTTAGGATTATAGATTGGGATGGCTTGATGCATCCTAGCCAGAGTGTGACTGTTGAAAGATTCGATGAAATCGAGGAGCTAAGAGCTTAGATACCTTCTCTATTATGACAAGTTCTTATCTTCAAGTTGATCAAATAGGCGAGACATGTCATGTCAAGTCATTTGTGGTTTCTGATATTTTTCAGTGCTTAAGTGACACAATTAGATGCTATGTGCTCATTAGTGGAGAGAGATGTTTGGAAAGAATCCATATTCTTACTTTAGAATCAAACTGCATGCAAGTTGTTCATAGTAGGATCAGTTTTGCTGGTATTTCCTTCTACAGAACTGTTTTTTATGAATGGTTGAAAGATGAGTGACACTCCCAATGCAGATCCATTAACTAATAATGGCCTACCTTACTGCCAGTTCCAACAGCTGAAATAAATCTCTCTCCCATCAAGAAAAAACAGAGAGGAAAACGGAAACAGAGAAGAGATGAGATAAGACTGCTATCAGACAGCTCCCCAATAACAGAGCAAAACAAGTCCTGCTAGTGTTGAGATCCAATAGGACTAAGAATGCATGCAGAGAAAATAAAAATCAATGAATTAAAAAGGTTATTTGGAGTTTTTGTTGGATTATATTTGATGTATGATCTCTTGCAAAAAAAGTAGAAAATTCTAGCTCTTCAAATTGTAATTACAACTGATATTAACTCTCTAGGATACCAATGTCTTCTTGGTCAGACGGTAGAAAATTTACGAGTTCAGCCAAGCCCAACATCCATCTTTCAGAAAGAAAAAGGGAAGGGCAAAAAAGGAAGAAGAAGCAACCAAGAAGATACATTTAATCCCTTACTCGATCTCTTTGCATGTTCCTTCAAGAATCACCGTGTTTGTGCCAACAAACAAGCATGGCAACACAGCGCCTCATGATATAAAACCTTGCCTTCTGTTCCTTGGCTAAGCTACTACATTTACGTGAAATGGAAGAGCTTTTTTGAGAGTAACTCCTTGGAAGAGGACACTTCGGAGAAGAGATTTTAAGGGATGAGCTCCTCAAGAGAGGAGCCTTGGAAGATGAACTCTTTGTTGAGAAACTTCTTGTGAAAGAAGATGAACCTTCTTTCTTCGATAGCTTCCACTTCTCAGCCATCTAAACCTTGGAAACTAGTAGCGACTAGCTAGTAATAGCAAGTAATATGGTATGATACTTCTTTGTATGTATATGTGTATGAGAGTGAGAAACAGTGAGTGTGTGAGAGGTAGAGGGAGATAAATGATCAAGGATGGGACTTGGGACTGTGGTGGGGCTTCGATATTTTATATAGTAATAGTGATTTGGGCTTCAAGATGTGAACCAGTGTTCAATTTGCTACTCAAATTTCTTGCCTGGTTTGTATATTTGGTCACATTGTATCCATATTTCTTTTATTTGCTCTCATGGCATCATCTTATTGGCTGGTTCTCTGAAGTCTCCTGGTCTCTATTCTTACTATATGATCTCCTGATTCTTGAACCTCCCTCCTCTTGGAGATCCATCGTTTATTTTGGAGACACTACTGCTGTGTTACGGTGCTCCATCATGGTCCCCCCCTTTTTTTTTAAAAAAACTCAAAGTTCATCACACAGTGCTCCATACAGAAGGAGAGAGTGAAGAGAGCTCATCTGCAGACAGTTATTAGCTGGTTCAGCGAAGAGAGTTGTGCCCATTGTTCCATAAAGGACAGGGCTCGATCTGTATAATAATTGAACTGTTAATCACTTGTGGTGAAACCAGGAGTGCGTTCGATCTGCATTGAAGTAGGGCTCCTTTGCTTCTGTGACTCTGTCCTTGCAAAACCAGAGGTCACAGTCATTGTTGCTATCTACCTGTTTTCTCTCTTTGGCTTTGGCATTAACTTCATTCCGAGTAACTGTGCCGTGTAGAAATTCTGTCTACCAGGAATAAAACTTTCACCATCATTAATTTACTTTAACAATGACACAGATTTCCCACCACAAGTTTGGTTGCCATCTGGGGCACCTTTTTCAACATCGAGCGTGTCAACGTGTAACCTGATATGGTTATAATTTAATTGGTTTTTTTTATGAAACCCAGCAATCATCGAAAAACAACATGTTTGTTTCAGAAAATAAAAATCATTATGGAAAGAAAGGAAACTGTTTCGAAAAATGACTTCAAGGATTTTTTTATTATACATTGGATGCAGAATCTTCTTCCTTTCCTGTCCTTCTCCTGTGATTCTTTTCTTAATTTGGTTTACACTAGATTGTTTTACCGTGGATGAGGTCAATTTTTTTATAACTGAATAAATATAATGCCAAAACACTATCATTGTATTCTTAAGAGAGAGAGAAAAAAATCCACGACTCACAGATAATAGAATTTTTTGTCAAACTCTATGAACCAAACTGTAAAATGATAAAATAAAAAATAAATATTTATAAAAAAATATTAAAAAACAAAATACTAATAAGTGACATTATCAAAATCCACAATTAGAATCATGTCAAATCTTAAACAGTAAAAAAATTTAAATTTAAAAAAAATTAAATATACAAAAGAATCCAAAATATAAAAAAATAAAGGAAATCAATTTTTAATGAATTCAATAATAATTGATGAAATTTTTAAAGTAATTGAAGCGAACCGGTTCAAGTTTTAAAATTTATAATACAAATCATGAGAACAGATTATAATGTAAAAGATAAATAAAAAAATAACAATACAAAATTTCAAATCAACCAAAATAATTGGGAATAAACATGAAACAACAAATTAAAAAAAAATTCATTTAAAAAATGTAGATTTAAAAAGAAAGAGAATCAAATTTAACATAAAAAGAAAAAAAATCAAATCATAAGGGATGAAATTGAAAAACAATTTCAATTAAGAAAAGAATAAGAACAACTAAAAATAACAATCAAAAGAATAAAAATCATATTTGATAAAAAATAAAAGATCAAGAGATGAAATCTAAAGACAAATTAATTTAATAAAGAATTTAAAATAAAAAATATCATAATTAAAAGAACAAGGATCAAATATAATATAAAAACAAGTCTAAAGGGATGCAATTGAAAAAATAATTAATTTAATAAATAATAAAAAATAAAATACATTGCAATTAAAATAATGATATAAAAATAAAGCCTCAAGAAATGAAATTAAAAAAATTAATTCAATAACTAATTTAAAACCAAATACATTGTATTTTAAAAAATTAGAACTTAATTTAACTTAATAAATAAATAGCTAAATTATTTTATTTTTTTCGTTTTTTAACCATGACCAACATGTTTTCATAAATAAAAAAAACTTATCATTAATATTTTTTTATTTGTCATTGAAAAACACATGCCTTACTATCGTAACGAATTGTGAGACATATCAAATGGTATCTTAAATAGCAATATTTAATGTTGTGTAGGTATTACACACACTATCTAAAATACATGGGCGGCGCAAATAACTTTTTAACATTAAAATTAATTTATATATAAAATCAGTTTTTCACCGTTGGAATCTAAAAGGCTAATGGCTTTTATTTATAGTTGGTTAGAGGAGAGAGTTACTGTTCTTATGAAAGATGCCATACTCAGATTGGATTCATATCCGTGAGCCACTGGTATGTATATGTGCCCCATCTCTCGTCCAGAATGTTTCCATGCTAGCTAGCCAGACAGCTCCATGACCTCTTAATTTTTTTTAGATTAATATGGGTGTCCGGACCAACTTACATGTACCACGATTAATTTCACGGATTCTGAAATTAACAATTATATAAATCTTTAGTGATCATTATATAAGTAACTAAGAACTTGAACCTGAAACCACAAAAAAAATAAATCCTTTAATCCTAAATCCTTACCACTTGACCATATGACTCTCAAAATCCACAATTAGAATCATGTCAAACCTTAAACAGTAAAAAAAATCAAATATACAAAAGAATCCAAAATATAAAAAAATAAAGGAAATCAATTTTTAATGAATTCAATAATAATTGATGAAAATTTTAAAGTAATTGAAGCGAACCAGTTCAAGTTTTAAAATTTATAACACAAATCATGAGACCAGATTATAACGTAAAAGACAAATAAAAAAATAACAATACAAAATTTCAAATCAACCAAAATAATTGGGAATAAACATGAAACAACAAATTAAAAAAAAATTCATTTAAAAAATGTAGATTTAAAAAGAAAGAGAATCAAATTTAACATAAAAAGAAAAAAAATCAAATCATAAGGGATGAAATTGGAAAACAATTTCAATTAAAAAAAAATAAGAACAACTAAAAATAACAATCAAAAGAATAAAAATCATATTTGATAAAAAATAAAAGATCAAGAGATGAAATCTAAAGACAAATTAATTTAATAAAGAATTTAAAATAAAAAATATCATAATTAAAAGAACAAGGATCAAATATAATATAAAAACAAGTCTAAAAGGATGCAATTGAAAAAATAATTAACTTAATAAATAATAAAAGATCAAATACATTGCAATTAAAATAATGATATAAAAATAAAGCATCAAGAAAGGAAATTAAAAAAATTAATTCAATAATTAATTTTAAAGAATTAGAACTTAATTTAACTTAATAAATAAATAGCTAAATTATTTTATTTTTTTCGTTTTTTAACCATGACCAACATGTTTTCATAAATAAAAAAAACTTATCATTAATATTTTTTTATTTGTCATTGAAAAACACATGCCTTACTATCGTAACGAATTGTGAGACATATCAAATGGTATCTTAAATAGCAATATTTAATGTTGTGTAGGTATTACACACACTATCTAAAATACATGGGCGGCGCAAATAACTTTTTAACATTAAAATTAATTTATATATAAAATCAGTTTTTCACCGTTGGAATCTAAAAGGCTAATGGCTTTTATTTATAGTTGGTTAGAGGAGAGAGTTACTGTTCTTATGAAAGATGCCATACTCAGATTGGATTCATATCCGTGAGCCACTGGTATGTATATGTGCCCCATCTCTCGTCCAGAATGTTTCCATGCTAGCTAGCCAGACAGCTCCATGACCTCTTAATTTTTTTTTTAGATTAACGTGGTGTCCGGACCAACTTGCGTGCACCATAATTAATTTCACGGGTTCTGAAATTAATAACCATATAAACCTCCAGTGACCATCATATGAACAATTAAAGACTCGAATCTGAGACCATAAAGAAAACAAATCCTTTGATCCCAAATCCTTATCACTTCGTCATGACCCCTTAATTATTATGCCATTATATAGCATAGGAGACTGTACTGCATTTCATATTTCTACATGTGAACCTTGGAGTTTTAGATTCACAGGCACATGCAACCCTCTGGATCAGTAGAAATGAAGCTCAACGTTCTTCAATTAATCAAATCTTTATTCAATAGAAAACAAATGAAATTTGAAGCTGCCACAGATAAATAATTCACCAAGGGTGCTCTTCTGAGACTCGCCATGTGATTTTTTAAATTGATTTGTGCTCTGCGTCATCCTGTGGGCAACACACTCCGAGATTGTTCTTCCTAGGAGATTATTTAAAGCCGGATTAACCCATGATCAAATGCATTCTTAATCAATTATTGATTCCAAAACTTTCTCACAAGTAATCATTGTACAGTTTTCCCCCCCTCGAAAGTCATTAAGCTACAGACTTTCATAACAACAACAATACAGACCTTCAAAACAACAACAATATAAAAATATAAAATTAATTTAACTTAAAAATTTAAAATTTTTAATCAAAATAATAATATTAGAATCTTGAAAATCAAACAATTATGAATTTAAAGTGTACTATCATATTCTAACTAATTAAATTAATAAAATTAAGCATAAAATAATCTAAATAACTTTAACTCAAGAAAATATATTAAAAATTAGTGTAAAATTAATTTTATAATCTTATTTAATAATTTAAATTTTTGGATTGAGATAGTTTTTTGATAAATTCTACTTTAATTATTATATTTAATTATTTTTGGATTGAGATAGTTTTTTGATAATTCTACTGAGATTGTGGTCTTTATAACCTTTGATTGAAAATTGAAAACATTAACTTTACGTTAATCTACATATTTAAATACTCGGTCGATCCAACTTTGATAGCATGTTAATTAACTATCCATTAAAGTTCTTGCATTTAAATAGAGGTACAGTACTGTTCAATACATTTGGTTCGATTAAACCGTATGTTTAAATTCGATGCCTTTAGTTCAAACCTAAAGACATTGATTTTGTATTTAAGTACTGTGTATAATAACTATTATCTAAAAGGCGAACGCAAAACATATTACTGTAAAAACTGATTTATTATACCGTGGATTGATAAAGAGCAATTAATTTTTGTTCGAAAGCTTTTTTTCTTTTTTTTAAAATACCTCTTATGGGACACAATTGAAAGCCAATCTTAAGTTAATTTGTTAGGGAACCAACGAGGTTAAAAAATAAAGGGTAAAATTAAAAAAAGAAACCTGAGAAAATAAGTAGTATTTTAAATTTTTTGGCAAAACATTTTGTAGTTCTTATATTTTTCAAATTATAAATATTAGATCCATTTGTTTTTT